AAAAGAAACAGGGAGAAACAAGGCGGGACAAGGGCAGATAAGGGTTGAGGCCAGGCCAAGAGTGAGAGTAGAGGAGGACTGGGTTGCCAAACGTGGATGACAATCAGGGCCATGATGCCCAGGTCAGCTCACTCTTCTCAGCTCAGGCTACACCCTGAGTGGATGCCTTGGTGCTCCACCCAGATTCCCGGTACTGACTGTGAGTTTTGGCTGCCGATGGCTCGCCATCTCTGGACTTGCCCTTGGCCTAGAGGGCAGCCAATTAGCTGACTGACAGGGGCATAAAAGACCAGCCTCCCTGCTTCAGGTGGGATCCTTTCTGTCATGCGATTGTCCACCCAGAGCTTCCCACAGGATCAAGCCAAAACCAGACTCAGCTGTGAAGCACATTCTTGCTTCCCCACCCCCTGCCCCGCCCTGCTTCCCCTCCTCCTTTCTCCTAAGAGTTTGCTCCGCTATAAACCACGTGCCCCCCAAATCCCCATCTCAGTCTCCACATCAAGGGAACCAGATCTAAGACACTTCTCTGACTACAAATTGCACCTTAGCTCCGGTGCCTAGGATGCTGTGTCAGCCCCTAATCAGCCTTCAGTACACAATAATGAGTTTTTAAAAATTTTTCAGCCCGGCGTGGTGGCTCACTTCTGTAATCCCAGCACTTTGGGAGGCCAAGGCGGGCAGATCACCTGAGGTCAGAAGTTTGAGAGCGGCCTGGCCAACATGAAGAAACCCTGTCTCTACTAAAAATACAAAAATTAGCTGGGCCTGGTGGCGTGCACCTGTAATCCCAGCTGCTAGGGGGGCTGAGGCAGAAGAATCGCTTGAACTCGGGAGGTGGAGGTTGTAGTGAGCCAAGGTTTCGCCAATGCACTCCAGCCTGGGTGACAGAGCAAGACTCCATCTAAAAAAATAAATAAATAAATAATTCTAGTTTCTCACTGTGATACTGCAGTAAATAATGCTAAATATTCATAGTATATGTGGTTAATTGAAAGAAAGAGTGATTGGTTGACTTAATCTCTAGATGGGTGATAAGTAGGTGGGGGAATTTTTTGTAGGATCGCCCCCACCACACACACACACACACACACACACACACACACACAGACACACACACACACACTCTAACCAGATTTCCATGGCTCATCCCAGTACCTCCTGTCTACATATAAGCCACCTGCTTATGTCTACGAAAAGTCAAAGACAGATAATCCAGTTTGTGGATTATCCAGACACCCAGCTGGCATGTTCCTCCTCAATATAGCCGACGTGAACCCTCCCTCTGCTCCAGCACTTTCTTGGGAGTAGGGGGTGGGCAGAGGCAGGCAGCAGGGGACGGCTGGATGACGAAACCTCAGTCTGTCAACACTGTTGCTGCTGCCTCAGCAGTCTGATGAAAGATCAGAAACTATTGGGTAAAATCATGTTAGGAATTTTCTGTGGATTCCAGGTATCTGGGCTTATCATCAAGCAGGACAAGGGCAGATAAGGGTTGAAGGTTGCGATTAACAAGTAGAAAATTAAGAGCTTTTGTATGGTGAAAACACCTTGAACAAGGCCAGGAAAATCACCTGCTAAGTAACCAGGTTTGGATCACTGAGAATCATAGTATGATAAGATGACACTTAAAATGATTTAAGATATGCAAAGTCCTCTCCTATTCTGAAAGCTTTCCAGGAAAAGAAGTATGTGGATTTTTCAGGTTTTTCAGTCATTCCTATCAAGGACTTCCTACAGTTTACTCTCCTTCCAGTCTGTTGCAGTTCTGGTCTGTTTATCTCTCTTTTTTTTTTCAAACAGGGTCTCACTCTGTCACTGAGGCTGGAGTGCAGTGACCTGATCACAAGGACTGTAGCCTCAACCTCATGGGTTCAAGCAATCTTCCCTCAGCCTCCTGAGTAGCTGGAACCACAGGTGCCACCATGTCTGGCTAATTTTTCTTTTTTTTTTTAACAAGACAGGGTCTTGTTTAGTGGCCCAGGCTGGTCTTGAACTCTGAGCTCAGGCAATCCTCCTCCCTCAGCCTCCCAAAGCACTGAGATTACAGATGTGAACCACTGCACCCAGCCCTGTTTTTCTTCTGATTTCAGACAAAAAATAGAACAGCAAATCTTTCTCTTTTTTTATGCATAGTGTGCTTTCCCCCAAATCTGTGAACCTGCACTATCCATAGAAACAGAATGTGAACCACATATGTAATTTTAATATTTCTGATAGCCACATTTTAAGGTTAAAAAGAAACAACCAAAACTAATTTTAACCATTTTATTTAATTCATTATATAAAAAAAATCACTTCAACATATGTATAACCAATATAAAAAGTACCAATAAGAAATTTTACATTCTGGCCGGGCACGGTGGCTCAAGCCTGTAATCCCAGCACTTTGGGAGGCCGAGGCGGGTGGATCACGAGGTCAAGAGATCGAGACCATCCTGGTCAACATGGTGAAACCCCGTCTCTACTAAAAATACAAAAAACATTAGCTGGGCATGGTGGCGCATGCCTGTAATCCCAGCTACTCAGGAGGCTGAGGCAGGAGAATTGCCTGAACCCAGGAGGCAGAGGTTGCGGTGAGCCGAGATCGCGCCATTGCACTCCAGCCTGGGTAACAAGAGTGAAACTCCGTCTCAAAAAAAAAAAAAGAAATTTTACATTATTTTTTCATATTAAGGCTCTGAATCTGTTGTATATTTTACACTTACAGCACGTCTCAGTTGACACCAGCCACAGTGCCCATGTTCAATTACCAAGTGTGGCTCATGGCTGCCATATTGGACACCCCAGTTCTAGAGCTTGGGAGTCCCTTCCCCGACATCTGCCCTATAACCTACTCCTCTGGGGTAGGAGGCAGAGAATGTGGATCTAGATACAGCATATCCTCAGATGACAGTGGGAGGAGTTTGGGGAGAGGAGTGGTGGACAGAGTCTGGGAGTGTCCCAGGCCAGGTAATTACAGGGAAGGGAGGAAGGAAACGGTGTCTATTAAACCTCAAACTGGGGCCTTTCCTCCTGAGCAGTAGGTGGAGCCAGGAAAGTGCTCCAAAGCCCACAATGCTCCAAGTCCCTCATTAATCAGAATACTTAATTCTGGCTCCAAGTTGAGTTATTTTCCTTACCTTCTCCAGGAAGCTTTCCCAGATAAACTCTCCAATCTTAACTGATAGAGACCTTGTCTCTAAAAAAGTAAAATAATTAGCTGGGCATGGTGGCACACGCTGGTAGTTCCAGCTACTTGGGAGGCTGAGATGGGAGAATCTCTTGAAACTGGGAGGTCAAGGCTGCAGTGAGTCAGGATTGCTTTACAGTGCTCCAGCCTCGATAACAGAGCAAAACTCTGTCTCGAAAAAAAAAAAAAAAAAAAAGAGATGAAGAGAGAAAGACTATGAAAGAGCTTCCCATGCCCACCTTGTACTGAGAACCATAGAAAGTGAACTAGGAAAGATCTGATATTGCCTACTCAGTCCCCTCACTTTACAGATGACAGAGGCCGAGAGACTAGGAATGACTTGGTCAGGGTCGCAGAAATTGGTGGCAGAGCCAAGTCTTAACCCATATGTTGCCCTGTGGGCTACTGTTTGGGGTGCTGCACAGTCAGACTGGTGGCTCTGTTCCTCCCCCATCAGGCTGGGAGAGTTCCAGAGAGTGAGTAAGCAATT